TCTTTGTGGCTTCAGAACACAAGAAAGTCCACATGACCTCCTTTTAGTAGGATATGCATGGACAGTAAAATGCCTTAAACCAGCACAGTAAGACACCTGCCAAAGTTAAAACAGAACAAAATGGGTCTTAAGCAATGTAAAATGTAGGAATAGCTTTAATAGAATAAAGCAATTAAGATACTTACAGAAATGATATCATCAAGATTTAGAATACTAGAACCCCAGATCAGGGCCTTGCTTGTCAGTTTTGCTTCAAGTTTATCAGGGTTTCCAGTTCCTGATCCTGTTTGCTCATTGACACTAACACTTTTAGCTTTTTTATCCAAAGCAAGCTTCCCAGAGAAAACTTCATACCCTAGCAAATCAGATTTTTCATCCCCGATATCAATCCTGTGCTCATTGGGCTTTACTTTCTCAAGGTCTTCATTTGCAACATCAGCATCACTCTTCTTCAATGATTTTGCTTTGCCTCTTTTGTCTGGGAAAACAATCGGAGATGAATGCTGACCTTTTGTTGTTTGAGACTTTTTGCTGCTCAAACGGCGAACATATTGCTGCAGTGATCCTCTTGGTGAGGTAATATCTTGAGGGTTGTTGGCAGAATTCTGCATAGCTCTTCTTCGACTGGTGCCTCAGGACATGAGTACAGATCACAAATACTGAACAAAGAGAGCAATATCTTACAAGTGACAAGGAACATCACTCAACAGGGCCCATCAGATGTTGTCAGCATAATAACGAATTCTGCATATTACAAATATCTATTAGGCATTATAAAAAGCATGGAACAGAAGTGGAAATTTTATCTACCATGTATTGAAATTTCTGAAATGTAGGCATATCAAAGTTCCCTTTTAAAATATGTACCTTTAGTGCATCTTGGTATAAACGGTGTCCTATAGATTATGTTCTTAAATTGCAAAATGCCTTTATTCTAAGCCATCAATGTGGTCTTACAGATAAGAGGAATTCAGCACATTAGTTGCATAAAAAAGGACAACTACTCTAATCTGAAGCAAACAAGAAAACCAAGAATTTTCGAACATCACATAGTGCTTTGAAAGACCATTAATTTCATACATGGAATCAACTGTCTGCCAAAGATGGGCTTCTCCAACTATTTTACTTGTGCAAACATCAGATGATTCCGGGTGATTTACCAATGTTGATTCTACCAAGGTACAGAAACATATACCTAACCCAATGAATTTCATCTTGACGTATAACTTCAAAGACAAACCGAAACACGAACCTGTAAACAAATTTATTTGATCAATTTTGTTATTGCTCTGGTGTTTCTAAGATTCCCAAATCCGGAAGTTCCAGACCTCCAACAGAAACAACTTAGACGGGGAGCCATTGTCTCCAAACAAACTGCTCCCTAGCTGGATTGTGGTCGCATGAGTGAAAGCCCAGTGAAACAGGAGAGTCTCAATCATAACAGTTCTCTCTGCCTCAAAAACCTTCATCTATCAGAAAAATTACTTTCTTTGTGATGTCCTAACAGCATACTTTTAAACTAAATTATCCATAATCATCTGAAAAATCACCAGATCAATTAGTGGCTAAATCGCACCCAAGAAAGCAGCACCAATACCCTTGTCAGCTTCAATTTATAGATTCAAATTTCGGTCTTTTCATCCAAATTAATTTCAAGAATCAAGATAATAACACAAAGTTTTCTAAAATAACCTTATTTTTTCTTTTTGCTTAATCCATCCTCCTCTTAACGAAACCTGGGCGTCCGAAAGCTCGGATCGCCGCGAGTCCACATAACTAAAAGATCAACGAGACGGAACCAAATCAAATCCGAATAAACGAAGCATTGACGCGATAACATGCAATTCTCATCAAACGCAGGAGGGAACGCTAATAGAACGAGTCGCACCCGTCACGAAGCTCCGATCCGCGGAGTAGATCGCCCGATACTCGACACTGAATTCAAGAAAGCCTCCACCGCCGCCGATGCCGAATCAGAACGAGGTAGAACACAAACAACGAAGATCCCAGATCCTGCGGCGACTACTCTGGTCGGAGCCCGAAGAAGAACCCTAAGAACAAGCGGCCGGAACCAGGAAGGCGATGAGACTGAAGGAGAGAATAATAATGGGGAGAAAGCGTCTTCCGAGATGCCGTCTAATAAGTCGCGTTTCCGACACGAAGCGGCGTTGCGGATGCCGATATCTTTCATTTTCTCTATTTATCAGCCTCTTAGTGTTCTTAATTTATTTATTTAATTCTTTTTTTTTCCTCTATCTTGGAAGGTGGCGAAGGTATCGGTGGCGTCACCGCTCGCCCGCCTTTTTGTTTCCTGCAAGAGGATCTACTCTAAAATATATTTTAAATAAGATCTTCCTCTTCTTCTTTCAACCGGTCATATCCGTCAGAGAGGTGCAGATTTTAGTTTGAGCTCCGTTGGCAAAAACTATTGCTTGGAGAGGATCCGAACAGGTCTCGCTTTCCTTTTCTCTCTCCTCGGATTATACTATGTTATGTTGGGTGGCTGGTGACGGGGGAGAAGCTTACCGGGCAGAGGATTATATCCCAGGGGTACGGTCACCTAATCCCGCCTGAAACTGAGCCCGCTTCCCCACCCTCGTAGTCAGCGGATTGCTCCGGCGGCCCCACGTGGGCCCGCAAGATTTACCTCACCAATCATCACACGGGTGGATCGGTCAGCGAGACAGAAATAGTAAAAGAAAAGTGCCTCTCTGCGCCCGCTGTTGGAGCGCACGCCATTTACTGTTCCGCCAGCTGTCAGTGATTAAAACTAATGGTACAATGATCCGGCGGAGTCGCAGCAGTGCAAACGTGTTTCGGAGAGAAGGGTGGGGCCTCGGCTTGGATGGGCCGTCGGGGTCCGCGGGTACGGGATAGACTAAAAGGTTCTGAACGGACGGTAGAACCTTGGAATGTGGGATAAATTTGGTGATGGCGATGGAACGGTCGGGTCATATGTGACGTCGACTGCTCGACGGCCGAGGGCACTTCAGTGGGAGCCACTCTGTCATCCAATGACACCCAGGTTGACCGAACCAAGACATGGAGACATGTATTGGGTGATTCGGACAATTAAATTAATATTTATTTATTTTTCTTCTTTTTTTCCTTGAATTAAATGAAATAGTGCTATAGTTGGCACATAATTTCTCTCTCTCTCTCTCTCTCTCACCTCTAAAGAGCAATTTTTGAGTTTTTTGTTTTAATACTTACCTTTGGTGATCTATTGTTAGTAACTAAATATTCTTTTTATAAAGGATAAGTGGTTAAAATAATATTTAAGCTAAAAATATTAAGATAATTTATTAAAAAATTATCAAATAAACTAATTAATACCTTTCTAAATATGATAATTAAATCTAATAAAAATAATAAAAACCTGTGAAATAAGGTTTCAAATATGTGAGTTTAATATATTACCATCAAGCAATATTTAAGGTATAAAATATATTGAATCCTAACATTTGGTATGTGTGTATGTTATACAGCTACCATACTAATGAGTAAAATACTTTTAATGAGATTTCGAACTTTCAATTTTCGAAAAGTAAGTCATACATCACTAATTAAATCAATATTTAAGATATTAAATTATATTATTAATTAATATTTAAGATATAAAATATGTCAGATGAGATGTTAAACTCTCAATCTGATATATTATCATCAGATAAATATTTATGATGTAAAATTATATCCAAGTGAGAACGACACACCATTATTATATCAATGTTTAAATATGTAAAATATATTAGATAAATTTTTAAACCCTTAATATTTCATAAATTTGATATTACCACTATCAAATTAATATTTAAGGTATTAAGAATATTAAATAAGATTTCGAACCCTTAAATAAATCTTACAGCTCTTAATCATCTAATTGTCATCTTCAGCCACATAAGAGTTGATCCAAAATCATGCTCCATGTGTGTTGATTAGGATCGGTTAATCCTTTCAACTATCGATGAAAGCTAATAGTTTTTATTGATGATTATATGTAAAATATATCGAATAAAGTAATAAATCCGTATGTGGGCATGGTGTACCATTGCCATACTAATATGTAAAATGTCGGATAAGATTATGTCGAATAAGGTTTCGAGCCCTACCTTTTAAAAATAAGTTTGATATATCATTATCACACCAATATTTAAGATATTAAAATACACCACTAAATCAATGTGTGTGATATAAAATATGTGATAAATAAATATTTGATATTTGATATTTGATAAATAATATATGGTTATACTACCATAAAAATCAATGTTTAAGGTGTTAAAAGACATATCAAATAAGATTTTGAACCCTTAACTAAATCTCACAGCTCTTAATCATCTAATTGTCATCTTCATCAACATAATCAATATAAGAGTTGATCCAAAATCATGCTCCATGTATGTGTTGATGAGGTTAGATTAATCCTTTCAACTTCCATATAGAAGCTAATAGTTTTCTTGCATGATTATACAAACATTAAATAAAGCCATTTTTTGGGCAGTCATTTAATATGAAATAATACTCCCTAAATTTTTTGTGAGAGTTATCTACCAGATGGCTTATTTCTTTTGAATGGAAACTTATGTGTAACTTGGATGAACAGTGAAAAGTTGGTGAAGAGTAATAGGATTTGAATTGCATGCTTAACTGTAGAATTTGACAAGTTATTTCATAAAATGATCATATTAGTGTTGGCCCATAAAACCTGTTGCAAGTTAAATTGCAAATTAAACCCAAATCTAAAGGCCCATCAAGTTGAATGCTTGGATGATCAGGTCATCAAATTCAATCCATTGATATCAGTAGGTAAGTCTGTTCTTTATCACTTTTGCTTAGTGTTTGGCCACATCATTTGCAACAATTTTTATAGCTTTGATAAGTGGGGTTGGCATATTTCTTTCCCCTTGTCAGTTCAGAAGATTCATATGCCATGATATTTAGATACTCCAAGTTTGATAGGGACAATTAGATGCTTTGTCAAGGTTATTTGGAGAACACCACAGTGACACTACTCTTCAATTCCTTTCTTTCCTTAAATAATCTTCGATTCCTTTCATCACATCTTATCTACAAGTCTTTGTTTGTGATGATTGTTGTACATCATGTGTCTTTCATGTTCTTGGATTTTGATTTAGGAGACTGTGACTTGCCTGATCTGGTGGTGAACTCTCCTGTGAGATGGATTGTTTTGTCTTTGGTTGCTTAGCTTCTGAATCAAAGGAATCTGTGTTCTCCAACTTGCCTTTGTGCTTCACTTTCAGATGGTGCCCAGTGCAGTTATATGTCAGCTCGGTTGGTCACCCATCTCCTCCTGTTCTTGAATCTGTGAAGGCCTAATGAGCCGAGATGGTGATTGTTTCGGTTGATGAAGTAGGAGAGCAGGAGACTGGTGCCTGCCAGGGGCAAAGTACCAACCACCAAGGCAGTCCCACTCGAAGGTTTCGGAAGGCTTCAACCAAATTGTCATGGATCACAATTCTCCTTGTCCATGATGCATTCATTCTACTTCATGTGCTGCATCACCGACTCATTCATCTCACAGAATGGAGTAGGCCACCCATGTCCTTCGCTGCTTGACCTGTAAGTTGCTGCTTTCATTAATGCAGCCCAACTCCTGTGCGGCCATTGATCCATGTCCATGTTTCATGCATGTCACGGTTGTGTTCTTAGTCGATCTAGTTGAAGCAGATTGATGTGGTGGTGCATCAATTCTGCACCAACTTCTCCTCCTCGGCTTCCGCACTGTTTCATCACAGCCAGTGGTTGTGGTCGACATTAATGGCGCAGAGGTGAGCAGCAGCCAGCGGCAGATAACATCAAGCTTTATGCGGAGGGTGGTTGACGGTCTCAACCAACCTGTGGGGTGTGCCTTGTGCGTCCACAAATCGACATGCTCCTCATACATTCCTTAGGGTTCACCATGCAATGATCTGCAAAGGAGCTGCCAGTGATTGGCTCTTCAGTGAGAAAACAAGATTTCAGAACATGGTAATTTCTGATGCATGTCAAATATAGTGAAGTATTCTTCATCATCGGTAGCTCCAATCTGAAAATGAGATGCTTGCATCCATGCAATCCAGTCTCTCTCTCCACAAGAGGACAGTGAGTTGTGTCTTCCGGCTAATGTATCAGACTTGCATGTTCAGAATCCACACTTCTTATGAATGATTCCTTTACTTTCTAAACCTCATAATTCTTTCTCATTAATGTCACTAAGATTCATGCACCACTATTTACATGATTCATGCACTCATTAATGTCACTAAGATGGATAACAGAAACAAATTATATCCTAAAGGAATCATAAATAGCAAGAGTTTTGCTAGGATTTGTCAAGAAAATGCTGTGATCTGAAATCATGAAACCAATCATTTTTTGTCTTACCTAATAATTAAATTGACTGAAGTGGAATTTGCAGATGAGGGAAACAAAGAAGAAAAGCAAAAACAAAAACCTTTGCATGGAATCAAGATTTTGAGCAATTTCACATCTCAAGATTGTTATTGACAATTTTTTACTGTATATTATATAAAGTTCTATTGAATCAGAGGAGATAAAATGCACAGCTGATCATCACTTTCTCTTGCAAGCTTCCATGGCAAGACAGCAGATATGTGAAGGACACATGAAACTACAACCAAGAAAAGGCCTGAGACAGTGAACAAACATACATGACTGGATCCAACTCTTGCTGGTACCATTCTCGCTAGTAGCTGAGCCATTATTCCCTTTCATAATTGAAGATAAGAATGTGGATAATTCATGCAATGGTCCAGCCATGGAGGTAGGGCCTCAAGATAAGGATGGTGAACTGTGCCCCAAGGATTTACACTCAATAACTTTCTCCTCCTACCTTGCCAGTTGCAGAGATGATGTTGTAAGCCCACATCCACCACCAATGGTGAGGTCAGGTGGGAGGGAGAGTCAGTCAGTGTGGGACTTGTTTCTGGACTTTTAAGATAAGTTTCTCTGTGATTGGACTGCGATTGGATGGATGCCTTCATCTTCTTATCCACTCAAACAATGCCTTCATCTTTCCAAAAAATCAGTTATTTGGCTGAATAAAAGTTTCTTATTATGATAAGAAAATAATGTAGCAGTAGAGAGAAATTATATGAAATGTTTTTTTACATGATATTTCCCATCCATTTGCATCCAAAGCAAACATTTCTCCTCCTGTGAATTCATGTGACCATTTCCCCCACTGATGTCCATGAAATGATTGAAGCAAAAGAGTGAGATTCCTCTTGCCAACGGTTTTTTGGATCTTTGTCTCTCTCTCTCTCTCTCTCTCTCTCTCTCTCTCTCTCTTTCAAGATTTCTTCTTTTCAAAGCTTTTCAAACTCTCTCTCTCTCTCTCTTAAAATTCTCCAATATTGTGAAGCTCCTAGTCTTAATTAGCCAATATAATATAGCTTTGTGCATGCTAAAGATGACAAGTATTTTTTAAAAAAAATCTTAATTATAAATATGTCTAATATTTAAAGACTTGGAAAATAAATCTACTTGATTGATTAAAAAATTTTAATTTAAAATATTTCTAATTGAATGAAAAAAATCCTTATAAATTAAATATTAGGTATATAATAAATATCTCATGTAAAAGTTTTTTGGAATGTGTTGCAGAAGAAAAAAAATAAGACCTAAAATTTTCTCCAATGGATACATAGAATTCATATGAAAATATTTCTCAATTTATATGAGAAAATATTAAAAAAAAACCTTAGGCTCATGTTTGATTTAATTCAAGAGAGATTTTTCTTTCTTGTATCATTAACACTTAGTGAAAATTTTGCTCTATATAAATCTTGTGTTCACTATTTTTAAGTTTATGTTTTACTTGCTTAGACTCGATTTGGTTTAGTCTAACTTAATCGTCTTCATCGTATGGTTATAACCACATCACACCACTAAGTTAAGAAAAGATACATTTTAAGGATTTATATGATATTTCTTATGAAACTGTTTATGTTAGCATGGAATAACATTTTGAGTGTCATGATCACTTGTTGAGCACATGCTTTGGATTCCTTTACTGCAATGAAGAATATATCCCCAAGTAATGTCATCTTTGGATGCTTAATTATGTGTCCATAATTGTGAAACAACTTTTCACATGGTGAGGCCAATGAAAAATGGAAGAGAGAGAGAGATAGAGAGAGGAGGAGGAGGAGGACAAATAGTTGGATGCCCAACCTAGTAAGTAAGCTAGGTATCATGTGATGGATGTGTTGATGCCTTAATAAAAGTGGTATCCCCATTGCATGAGGGCCATTGCCTTTGGAGGATCCATTAGTCTCCAATTTATGGAATGAAAGGGTTGATAAGCATCCACTTTTTTCTTTTTTTGCCTTGTTGGAGAAAACTTCACATGCATATATATTCCTCCAAAATTAATGATTTTTTATATCCATCTCTATAATTTTAAATGTAAAGTATGTGCTTTTCGATCATTATTCGACGCACCTTAGAAACTCAATATGATGCTAAAAATCCTAAAGCTAATTTAACTTAATTTTTTTAGACACATAAAAAAATATTTTTATTTTGCAATAGAAAAGGTAAATCCAAAATGAACTTTTTGTTGGTGTTCTTTCTATGGCCCGACCAAGAACAAGTTAGGTTCAATGTATTATTGAGGTGGTTTAGTAGGGAAAATGTCACTTTCAATTGGCTTTTTCCTTGATTCCTCTTCCCCATTTATATACTCTCACTATTCATTAACAATACAAATAATAATCTAAAAACCCCTATCAAAATGTCATTAGGCTCCGACTTAATCTTTGTATGTGTTTCAAATCCAATTTCTTGCATGCATAAAATTTATACCCTTCACTACAGTCAGAATTAATTTTTGTACTAAATAATCGGGATATTATCATTTATTCGGTCAAAATTATATTTTTAATGTAAATCCGAAATAAGGGTATTTACACTGATTTTAATTTTAATTTAGATTTATTTTCTTCTTTATGGTAGCAAAATCCAAAGCAATACAGTGGTCCAAAGCAATATGGACCCACCCATCCAAATCGGAGTCATAGTGGCATTAGAAACGACTTAATGGCGAAGCCGAAGAGAGCGGTGGCCACATGATCGCGATGTAGCCATCACCTGCGCACGACCCAAGAAAGCCACCCGGTGGAGGGCACCAAGACCCAACCGCAGCCGTCCGATCGAGATCCCACGGCGAGCGTCTCATCTCCCGGCCCAATCATTAAATCATCGAAGGGGGACCGCGGAGGGCCCCGCCGCCGGAAGCCGTCTCCTCGGGGAGGCGGAGCGACGCCAACGCTGTCGGCGTCGGGACGAAAACGACCACGTGGTAGCGGAGTCCGTCAGCTCTCGAGGGCGTTTCAGTCATTTCACGTTTCCGTTAATTCTATTACCGATCGACCCGAACCCAATAAATCGGACCCGGTCGGGTTCGTTGTTGATGCCGACTTGCCATGAATTCTTGCCGTAGCCAATTGCTACAATTATGGCTTTCGGTGATCTGAGATTGATTGGAGCCACCAATCCCTCATTATTGGCTATTTTACATTATATTTTCTCTTTTCTTGTGGATCTGTCTATACGATAAATCGGTCTCGTTATAACATAATATAAAAATATTTAGTATAATATTTTTATACATGTTATAGTGTTTTCAGTAATATTAGGAAAACATTATACCATGATAATATTTTTTTTAATAATATTAGAAAAGATAATATTGTATAAAAATACTATAACATATTATTTTTATATTAAATATAAAAAAAATATTATAACTAGACTAGTTCATAGAAAAGAAAAAAAAAAGATCATTGGGGGCATTTAATGTATTAGGGAAAAACGAAAAAATTAAATAGAAAATGTTTTTTTCGAGAATTCACCTAAAATTATTTAAAAAATATATTGTGAGGTTAAAAATATTAATTATATAGAAAAAGAAAAAGAAATGGAAAGCAACAACAACAACAACAACAACAACAGGAGAGACAAGTGGGAAGGATGGGGTCTATTATTACTTGACCAGATCAGGCGGGCCCACGGTAATAACTCAACCCCTCATCTCTAAGTAATGTTTTGGGGTGATTACATGGAGGAGCTACGGTTGAGGAGGCACCATCATCATCAGCCATTTGACCGTCATGTACTCTTCTCCCTCCTTCGCTTTCCTCTACAACGGCAGTAGGGCCTCCTGGATCGTCTTTGTCGACCTTTCCATCGAGCTTTAAGGGCAACAAAAGAATGGGGTCATTACCTGGCTTACGGAGGCGTTAACATGCCATGCCGTGGGTTTATTTGTGCGTGGGATCCGCTTTAATCGCCTTGCACGTTGTTACCCTTCCGTGGAGGAGGAGGGAGGAGGGAGGAGGGAGGAGGAGGCCCATGCTACAGCTGTTGCAACGTATGCTTGTCTCCCTCCCCCTCGCTTTCCCTGTTCACAGTCTCAGAGATATATAGATATATTTCCTGCACCTCCGGCTACTATCAACCGGGTCTAAAGGCTGGGCCACCACACGGCAGAAGGGCGACCATCATGGGATCGCAAGGCTGTGAGCTGCAGGGGTGAGCAAGAAGGTGAAGCAACTTCTGTGGGTGGTGTTATTTACTTGTGGGAGACTTGCATGCATGAATGATGTTACCAACCAGGCTTGAGGTGGGAGAGCATGTGGGGGGAGGGATAAATTTACTCGAGATATTCCATGCCGACGGTGCAAGATTACTTCTCTTTCTTGCACAGTACTCTCTCTCTCTCTCTCTCTCTCTCTCTCTCTCTTCCCCTCTTGCTTCAGGTACAAACCTGAGCTTATATCTGATCTATCTTTCTCTCTCTCTGCACTGTCCTTTGGGTGTTAACTATTCTTAGGCACAAAGTAAGCCTCCCTGACAACGCAGCATCTCGTTTGTTTTATCATTTGCCATCTCTTCTCTCTCCTCTTTCTCACATCATCATCAGCATCATCATCTGCCCCCCTCCCTCGCCTTCTTTCTACTCCCTGGCATTCCATTATCTCTTCTCTCTTTCACGTTGTTGGATCTTTCTTTCTCTCCCACTCCCCTTCGTGTTCTTCAACCTTCACCCCCCACCCCCCAACCCTCCCCCCGCGCGGGGGGTCTGTTGCATGGTGAGCTGAATTACTCAGCGTTTTGTTAGGAGAAGAGGTATTAGTTTTCTGTCTAAGCTGGGTTTGGAATTGGATCTCTCTCTCTCTCTCTATCTCTCTCTCTCTCTTTCCAGTTGTTCGTGCTCCCATCTTTTTCACCCCTTCATGTACTGGGTTCCTTTTCCAATTCTCCGACTGCGCCAATCCCCACTTCCTCCCCTCTGTCTCCCCGCTGAGGTGTGAGAGAGAGAGAGGAGGAGGAGGAGGGAGTCGGTGTACCGATCAAGCCACGCACTGTGGTAATAGAGAGTAGCGGATTGCTCAAAAGCGTAGAAGAGGAGAGCAAATAATAATAAATCCAAGGACATGCAGCAACAGCAGCAGCAGCAGCAAGGAGGGGCCACGTACGGGTTGCCGCCCTCCGAAATGGCCCCATTCTCAACCTCTGCGGTCGGCCCCGGGGCGCCCCTGCTCGGAATTCCCGGCCCCGATCCCCTCCAGCAGCAGCAGCCGCTGGCCGAGACCGCGTCGCCCATCAGCAGCCGACCACCTCCAGCTGGAAGCGCGCCCTCTGCCGATTTTGACGAGCTAGTCCCCGCGGTGACCGGCAACTTCCCCGACGACGTGGTCCTTGCGGCGGGCGACGACGCCGAGAGGGGTACCGGCGCCACCGCCAACCGATGGCCGCGGCAGGAGACCGTCGCCCTGCTCAAGATCCGTTCCGAGATGGACGCGGTCTTCCGGGACGCCACCCTCAAGGGCCCTCTCTGGGAGGAGGTCTCCAGGTAATTAAAGTCCTTCACGATTCCCACTGCATGCTCCCCTTTGACACCGCCACCAGAATGTGGAGCCTTCCCCTTCACAGAATTCACGGATCTCTGATGCTTCGATCGAGACGCAGACATGGGCTTCCGACCTCCCTTTAACGGTTTCCTTGCAACCGACTTCAGCGCTCCATTACTGCGACTTCAGAGCTCCTCCTCTCTTCTTCTAAACCTCCTCACA